TTTGTTGTAGATCTAGTGGGTTCAGATAGTGTAACCACATCATAGTTTGCCTGCATCAATTATTTTTGTTGTAGATCGAGTGGGTTCAGATAGTGTAACCACATCATAGTATGCCTGCATCAATTATTTTTGTTGTAGATCTAGTGGGTTCAGATAGTGTAACCACATCATAGTATGCCTGCATCAATTATTTTTGTTGTAGATCTAGTGGGTTCAGATAGTGTAACCACATCATAGTTTGCCTGCATCAATTATTTTTGTTGTAGATCTAGTGGGTTCAGATAGTGTAACCACATCATAGTATGCCTGCATCAATTATTTTTGTTGTAGATCTAGTGGGTTCAGATAGTGTAACCACATCATAGTATGCCTGCATCAATTATTTTTGTTGTAGATCTAGTGGGTTCAGATAGTGTAACCACATCATAGTATGCCTGCATCAATTATTTTTGTTGTAGATCTAGTGGGTTCAGAGAGTGTAACCACATCAATTATTTTGGGTCAAAGGCTAAGAAAATCTCCACTAGAAATAACACATTGACATGTGGTTCAACCACCTCTCCACTAGAAATAACACATTGACATGTGGTCCAACCACCTCTCCAATAGAAATAACACATTGACATGTGGTTCAACCACCTCTCCAATAGAAATAACACATTGACATGTGGTTCAACCACCTCTCCAATAGAAATAACACATTGACATGTGGTCCAACCACCTCTCCAATAGACATACATTGACATGTGGTTCAACCACCTCTCCAATAGACATACATTGACATGTGGTTCAACCACCTCTCCAATAGAAATAACACATTGACATGTGGTTCAAACACCTCTCCAATAGAAATAACACATTGACATGTGGTTCAAACACCTCTCCAATAGAAATAACACATTGACATGTGGTTCAACCACCTCTCCAATAGAAATAACACATTGACATGTGGTTGTAACTGAGTGCCCAGCACTGCCAACCAGCAAAAAAAATCATAAACCAAGCACTCTTGACTTTTTTAAACCAGATTTCATTCGAAAATTTTCTAAATTTGTGATTTTCCACAAACAATGGGCTCTGCACAGTTTCAAAAATTACGTCTTCCAGGAAATTCGCCTTTTTATTTTAAAATTTTGGCCAAACAAATCAGCTGAAAAGATTTCTGCTGTTTTTAAAAAAAAAAGTCTATGGGCAGAAAAATTTTGATTTTTTTCCTGCGCAAAATTTTTCTGAGGTGGAAAAAGCTGATTTCTGAAAAATACTTTTAAATATTTATTAAAAATTAACAGTTTAACACATTTTTTAAAAATTAAAATAGTTTAGTTTTTTTTTAACGGGTGTATTATTTCTGTAATTCTTTTTCCTAAAAAAAGTAGTTTGTTTGATTTTTAACATTTTTTTAAAGTCAGTTCAGTTCTTCCCATCCAATGGCTGGCACCATACAAACATGGCCCACCATACAACATACAAACATGGCCCACCATACAACATACAAACATGGCCCACCATACAACATACAAACATGGCCCATCATACAACATACAAACATGGCCCACCATACAACAGACAAACATAGCCCACCATACAACATACAAACATGGCCCACCATACAACATACAAACATGGCCCACCATACAACATACAAACATGGCCCACCATACAGCTTTAAACATGGCCCACCATACAACAGACAAACATAGCCCACCATACAACATACAAACATGGCCCACCATACAACATACAAACATGGCCCACCATACAAACATGGCCCACCATACAGCTTTAAACATGGCCCACCATACAACATGGCCCAGCATACAAACATGGCCCACCATACAACATACAAACATGGCCCACCATACAACTGGCCCACCATACAGCTTTAAACATGGCCCACCATACAAACATGGCCCACCATACAGCTTTAAACATGGCCCACCATACAAACATGGCCCACCATACAGCTTTAAACATGGCCCACCATACAAACATGGCCCACCATACAGCTTTAAACATGGCCCACCATACAACATACAAACATGGCCCACCATACAGCTTTAAACATGGCCCACCATACAAACATGGCCCACCATACAGCTTTAAACATGGCCCATCATACAAACATGGCCCAGCATACAAACATGGCCCACCACACAAACATGGCCCACCATACAAACATGGCCCATCATACAAACATGGCCCACCATACAAACATGGCCCACCATACAACATGGCCCAGCATACAAACATGGCCCACCATACAGCTTTAAACATGGCCCACCATACAGCTTTAAACATGGCCCACCATACAAACATGGCCCACCATACAGCTTTAAACATGGCCCACCATACAGCTTTAAACATGGCCCAGCATACAAACATCTGCCCAACATACAAACATGGCCCATCATACAAACATGGCCCAACATACAAACATGGCCCAGCATACAAACATGGCCAACCATACAGCTTTAAACATGGCCCACCATACAAACATGGCCCACCATACAGCTTTAAACATGGCCCACCATACAAACATGGCCCACCATACAGCTTTAAACATGGCCCATCATGCAAACATGGCCCACCATACAAACATGGCCCAACATACAGACATGGCCCAGCATACAAACATGGCCAACCATACAGCTTTAAACATGGCCCACCATACAAACATGGCCCACCATACAGCTTTAAACATGGCCCACCATACAAACATGGCCCATCATGCAAACATGGCCCACCATACAAACATGGCCCAACATACAAACATGGCCCACCATACAAACATGGCCCACCATACAAACATGGCCCAACATACAAACATGGCCCAGCATACAAACATGGCCAACCATACAGCTTTAAACATGGCCCACCATACAAACATGGCCCACCATACAGCTTTAAACATGGCCCACCATACAACATGGCCCAGCATACAAACATGGCCCACCATACAACATACAAACATGGCCCACCATACAACTGGCCCACCATACAGCTTTAAACATGGCCCACCATACAAACATGGCCCACCATACAGCTTTAAACATGGCCCACCATACAAACATGGCCCACCATACAGCTTTAAACATGGCCCACCATACAAACATGGCCCACCATACAGCTTTAAACATGGCCCACCATACAACATACAAACATGGCCCACCATACAGCTTTAAACATGGCCCACCATACAAACATGGCCCACCATACAGCTTTAAACATGGCCCATCATACAAACATGGCCCAGCATACAAACATGGCCCACCATACAACATGGCCCAGCATACAGCTTTAAACATGGCCCACCATACAAACATGGCCCAGCATACAAACATGGCCCACCATACAGCTTTAAACATGGCCCAGCATACAAACATGGCCCACCATACAACATACAAACATGGCCCACCATACAACATACAAACATGGCCCACCATACAGCTTTAAACATGGCCCACCATACAAACATGGCCCACCATACAGCTTTAAACATGGCCCATCATACAAACATGGCCCAGCATACAAACATGGCCCACCACACAAACATGGCCCACCATACAAACATGGCCCATCATACAAACATGGCCCACCATACAAACATGGCCCACCATACAACATGGCCCAGCATACAAACATGGCCCACCATACAGCTTTAAACATGGCCCACCATACAGCTTTAAACATGGCCCACCATACAAACATGGCCCACCATACAGCTTTAAACATGGCCCACCATACAGCTTTAAACATGGCCCAGCATACAAACATCTGCCCAACATACAAACATGGCCCATCATACAAATATGGCCCAACATACAAACATGGCCCAGCATACAAACATGGCCAACCATACAGCTTTAAACATGGCCCACCATACAAACATGGCCCACCATACAGCTTTAAACATGGCCCACCATACAAACATGGCCCACCATACAGCTTTAAACATGGCCCATCATGCAAACATGGCCCACCATACAAACATGGCCCAACATACAGACATGGCCCAGCATACAAACATGGCCAACCATACAGCTTTAAACATGGCCCACCATACAAACATGGCCCACCATACAGCTTTAAACATGGCCCACCATACAAACATGGCCCATCATGCAAACATGGCCCACCATACAAACATGGCCCAACATACAAACATGGCCCACCATACAAACATGGCCCACCATACAAACATGGCCCAACATACAAACATGGCCCAGCATACAAACATGGCCAACCATACAGCTTTAAACATGGCCCACCATACAAACATGGCCCACCATACAGCTTTAAACATGGCCCACCATACAAACATGGCCCACCATACAGCTTTAAACATGGCCCACCATACAAACATGGCCCACCATACAGCTTTAAACATGGCCCACCATACAACATACAAACATGGCCCACCATACAGCTTTAAACATGGCCCACCATACAACATGGCCCAGCATACAAACATGGCCCACCATACAGCTTTAAACATGGCCCACCATACAGCTTTAAACATGGCCCACTATACAGCTTTAAACATGGCCCAGCATACAAACATCTGCCCAACATACAAACATGGCCCATCATGCAAACATGGCCCACCATACAAACATGGCCCAACACACAAACATGGCCCAGCATACAAACATGGCCAACCATACAGCTTTAAACATGGCCCACCATACAAACATGGCCAACCATACAGCTTTAAACATGGCCCACCATACAAACATGGCCCAGCATACAAACATGGCCCAGCATACAAACATGGCCCAGCATACAAACATGGCCCACCATACAAACATGGCCCACCATACAGCTTTAAACATGGCCCACCATACAAACATGGCCCACCATACAAACATGGCCCAGCATACAAACATGGCCCACCATACAAACATGGCCCACCATACAGCTTTAAACATGGACCACAATTCAGCATTAAACATCCAATGCTACCATGCAGAAAAGATAGAGAAAAACCATAAGACACTTACCTCCATTTTCTCTGGGTTTTCAAATAGTACTTCAAACAGAGAAGAACTTGGCTCGAAGCTAGAGACTGAATCATTCATGACAATGTCCTCATCTTTTTCCTCCAGGTTCAGGAGGTATTTCACTAAAAAGTAATCAAATCAGTTACTGGCCTCAAATGCACTCACATTTTTTAAAAATGATTTCTAGAATCTAACTACTAACCCTTACAGCCCCAGTCTAGAATTTAACTATTAACCCTTACAGCCCCAGTCTAGAATTTAACTATTAACCCTTAAAGCCCCAGACTAGAATTTAACTATTAACCCTTACAGCACCCAGTCTAGAATTTAACTATTAACCCTTACAGCCCCAGACTAGAATTTAACTATTAACCCTTAAAGCCCCAGACTAGAATTTAACTATTAACCCTTAAAGCCCCAGTCTAGAATTGAACTATTAACCCTTAAAGCCCCAGACTAGAATTTAACTATTAACCCTTAAAGCCCCAGACTAGAATTTAACTATTAACCCTTAAAGCCCCAGACTAGAATTTAACTATTAACCCTTAAAGCCCCAGACTAGAATTTAACTATTAACCCTTAAAGCCCCAGACTAGAATTTAACTATTAACCCTTAAAGCCCCAGACTAGACATAGGTTTACAAACACAACATCAAGTACTTGACTTATGCAACCTACAGCATGGCTAGGGTTTACAACCACAACATCAAGTACTTGACCTTACACTGCAGTAATGGGCCCAGTGTTAAAAAAGATTGTCAACAAATTTTTCTGTCAGAGTCAAATCCTGGTATTTTTTTTATGGACTAATCAGTTGAGACATGCTGACTTGGACATAAGTTTTAACACAATCTTAAATTAGATTGTATTTAGAAGAGTCTGATAATTATTGAGACATCGAAAAACTGAATAGCACTGAAATTCATAAATTTGTAACTACTAACTATTTTTATAACTCTTTATTACTTGCCCCCTGACATTATGACACTCTAGTACTGGTCCCCTGACATTATGACACTCTAGTACTGGTCCCCTGACATTATGACACTCTAGTACTGGTCCCCTGACATTATGACACTCTAGTACTGGTCCCCTGACATTATGACACTCTAGTACTGGTCCCCTGACATTATGACACTCTAGTACTGGTCCTGACATTATGACACTCTAGTACTGGTCCCCTGACATTATGACACTCTAGTACTGGTCCCCTGACATTATGACACTCTAGTACTGGTCCCCTGACATTATGACACTCTAGTACTGGTCCCCTGACATTATGACACTCTAGTACTGGTCCCCTGACATTATGACACTCTAGTATTGGTCCCCTGACATTATGACACTCTAGTATTGGTCCCCTGACATTATGACACTCTAGTACTGGTCCCCTGACATTATGACACTCTAGTACTGGTCCCCTGACATTATGACACTCTAGTATTGGTCCCCTGACATTATGACACTCTAGTACTGGTCCCCTGACATTATGACACTCTAGTACTGGTCCCCTGACATTATGACACTCTAGTACTGGTCCCCTGACATTATGACACTCTAGTACTGGTCCCCTGACATTATGACACTCTAGTACTGGTCCCCTGACATTATGACACTCTAGTACTGGTCCCCTGACATTATGACACTCTAGTATTGGTCCCCTGACATTATGACACTCTAGTATTGGTCCCCTGACATTATGACCCCAGAGGTCAATCACAGTTCATAACATTTGTACACCAACATCTGTTGTACACCAACATCTGTTGTACACCAACATCTGTTGTACACCAACATCTGTTGTACACCAACATCTGTTGTACACCAACATCTGTTGTACACCAACATCTGTTGTACACCAACATCTGTTGTACACCAACATCTGCATGCCATTATCAATTTTTCAAATGAAATACCAGATTTTTTAACACAATGTTGTTTGTGCACATGGTAAAATATCCTCTGCACAGGAGATAAGGGATCATAAAATAATATGAATGGTTGAGTGAAGAGAAGGTAAAAGTATGTTGGGGCTGTGAGGGTTTAAGTAGGTTGCTATGATTAGCCTGTCGCTGGACCTACTTTTTTTTACCATCGCCATGGTAATGATGGCTGCCGAAAACTACGATACTGTGTTTTAGTTTTTTGAACAATGTTTCGTGGTCATTTCAGAAATATATACTTAAAAATGGTAATTTTTGCAACGATACCAGTCTAGTTTTAATAATGGAAGATTAATGTTTTAAGCAAACTTGCCATTTGTACTTTTTTTTTTCTGATCGCTGAGAATATCGAGTAATAATAATAAAAGTGAGCAAAACATGAATTGCTTTAATATTGTTCTAAACATACTGAAAATATATTCTAAACTATAGAAAAATTATAACTTGCCTTCTATTAAACTAATGTCATTAATGTTTTAATAATCAAGCAGGGTAAAAGCAAAACCTATTAAAAATAACTTGATCGAGACAACAGCTAACTAAGCCTGCCCATTTTGCCCCCCGCGTATTTGAATGGGGAGAAATCTAACAGACGAAACATTTCTGCATTTCACAGCAACACTCCTTAAAAAACTAACCCCCCCCCCCCCCCCGTATCACTGGAAATCAGTCATATCATCGTAGCGATTTAAAATTTTCACAATTTATTTTCTAGGCTATCGATTAAATTTGATAAATAAAATTGGTATCAAATTAAAGGTAAATAAATGTAGTTTTTAAGTGTTTAAGTCATCTTGAACAATAATGAAGTTTAAAATCATAGGCTCATCTTGAACAATAATGAAGTTTAAAATCATAGGCTCCTCTTGAACAATAATGAAGTTTAAAATCATAGGCTCATCTTGAACAATAATGAAGTTTAAAATCATAGGCTCATCTTGAACAATAATGAAGTTTAAAATCATAGGCTCATCTTGAACAATAATGAAGTTTAAAATCATAGGCTCATCTTGAACAATAATGAAGTTTAACATCATAGGCTCATCTTGAACAATAATGAAGTTTAAAATCATAGGCTCATCTTGAACAATAATGAAGTTTAAAATCATAGGCTCATCTTGAACAATAATGAAGTTTAAAATCATAGGCTCATCTTGAACAATAATGAAGTTTAAAATCATAGGCTCATCTTGAACAATAATGAAGTTTAAAATCATAGGCTACACCCGAGCTATGATGACCAATGGATAGTGTAAAGTAGGCTGGCTCTGTCAGGGTTAAAGTAGCTTGCTATATATAGTGTAAAGTAGGCTGGGTCTGTCAAGGTTAAAGTAGCTTGCTATATATAGTGTAAAGACATACAGTTATCAACCATAGCTTGCTATATATAGTGTAAAGACATACAGTTATCAACCCTAGCTTGCTATATATAGTGTAAAGACATACAGTTATCAACCCTAGCTTGCTATATATAGTGTAAAGACATACAGTTATCAACCATAGCTTGCTATATATAGTGTAAAGACATACAGTTATCAACCCTAGCTTGCTATATATAGTGTAAAGACATACAGTTATCAACCATAGCTTGCTATATATAGTGTAAAGACATACAGTTATCAACCCTAGCTTGCTATATATAGTGTAAAGACATACAGTTATCAACCATAGCTTGCTATATATAGTGTAAAGACATACAGTTATCAACCCTAGCTTGCTATATATAGTGTAAAGACATACAGTTATCAACCCTAGCTTGCTATATATAGTGTAAAGACATACAGTTATCAACCCTAGCTTGCTATATATAGGGTAAAGACATAAAGTTATCAACCCTAGCTTGCTATATATAGTGTAAAGACATACAGTTATCAACCCTTCTGGCATGTCTAATTCCTCGTCTACTGCCAAATCTGGAAAGATTTTCCTGAGACACTGAAATGTATTGTTTGGTGCGATGTCGTCGTGGCCGCGATGCTGGCTGACTTGGCAACGACTGTGAGTCAGATTCATCATCAGTGGAGGAAACTAGGCTGTTTTCTGGAGGCCTAAAAAAATGTTGAACAGACCTTGAGGGTGGGTTAGGCCTATTCTTTAGCCATTAACCTAATTAATTAAATTAATTTAATTTAATTGTTATTTAAATATGATCACAGTCACTGGCATGTTAGTTAATTGTAGATCTATTGTTTTGGTATAACTCCATTTTAGCGTATTTTATTCCCCGCCTCATATTCACCTTCGGTTGAGCGTATTTTATTTAAAATAAACTATGGTTTACAGTAGGGCCCTAACGAATGTTACCGAAACTCAACAAATTAAACATTACCAGATAATTTCTGACGCTATATCGTGAGATTAACATAGTCTCTAGTCTAGATCTACTAGATTCTTCTAGATCTAGTTGTTGTTTTTTTTTTGTTATGTTAAGATAAGATTTAGAGATCTAATATTAATAAAAGTTTATAGGCCTAAAAGTAATAATTACTACTAGATCTAGATGGAATATCTGCTGACCTACACTTAATCTAGCCGCAAGCTAGATTACTAGATCTAGTACTAGTAGTATCTCTAGGCCTACTACTATGTAATACTATGTATGGTAAAAATTTAGAGAAAACCCTTGATATTTCATAGTATTCACCGCCAACCAATCAAACGCGCCCTAACCCTAACTAAGTAACTACTAAAAAAGATCTAGATCACTGGTTCCCAACCTGGGGGTCGCGACCCCCCTAGGGGTCGCGAAGGGTTTTCTGGGGGGTCGCCAACTGGTATACTAAACCTTAGTAATTTGAAACAAAACAAATATTTAGAAGAATTTTTGAAATTCGGCTTTACTAACATCACTGAAAGGGAATAGAGAAAAAGCAAAGCGTACTGTACAAAGTTGTTCTCAGTCACGAGTTTATGAAATCTTCAAAACTAAAACGTCTTTTGACACGAGTCATTCGAAACACACCAAAAAAGATATGGAATTCTTTCGTTGGTATGAAGCTAGTTGCAAACGTCAGGGACTTGATCGAACAGGACGTTTTCACCAAGGAAACACAGCATTAGTGCAAGCATCACATAAAGTCGCGACAGAAAATGCCAAGCAAAAAAAAAACACACACAATAGGAGAAAATCTCATCAAACGCTGCATGTTGAAGATGGTGAAGTTAATTCTTACATGTCCGTAGATGTTAAATAACACATTTTTATTGAAATTAAGCTTTCACCATTGTTTACTTTTCAAGTTGATAAATCAACAGACGCGAGTTCGTGTTCGCAGTTGCTGGTCTTTGTCTATATTTATTCAGATGATAGCAAAGAAGATTTGCTCTTTTGTGAAGATAGCATGGAGAAAATAAATACGTTTTTTTATTTACATTGGATGATTAAAATGGGTTAAAACGGCTGTGAGGGTTTGTACGGATGGTGCACCATCTATGTTTAGGTCAAAATCGGGCTTTCAGAAAGCAGAAAAGATTTAGCTCCCTAACCACTGCCCTCACCAATCGCCACCAAGACTCCATTGCTAGTATAAGTCGTAAATTATATAAAATCTGGAGCCTTCAAAGAACTGAGCAAAGACCTGAATAAAGATCACGAGGTTCTGCTCTTCCACACTACAGTGCGCTGGCTGTCAAACGAATTATTGTGAATCGTGTTTTCGAATTGAAATCTGAAATCAAATTGTTCTGGGAAATGCAAAGGAAACAAGACCTTTTGGTATACTTAAAACGACATAGAGTCGGAGAGAGTATCATACCTAGCAGATGTGTTCGAACATCAACATAAGCATAACCTGAAGCTTCGTTGGAAAACGAACGGATATTATCACTTTCCATGATAATCTCGGGGCATTTTTATCAAAGCTGCAAAATCGGCGAAGAAAATAAATCTTGGAAATATTGTAAATTTGAGAAACTCTGCAGTGTGGTAGATGAATCTAATTGTGAGATAATTAAAATTTTGAAAGAAGAAATTTCTGGGCATCTTGAATCTATTGAAAACGAACTGCAGCGCTATTTCTCTGAACTGAAAAAGAAGAATTAGCATTGACGCATTATCCATTCTCTTCTTCCCTTGATGTTGCCAGCATTCCCGATGAATTACAAGATGAATTCTTTGATTTGTAGAATGATTCCGCGTAAGATGAAAAACTTCAGACACAATTTTGGTGTAGTAGTAACCATTTATATCCAAACGTAAAATTAATTGACCTTTCGAGAATATAATTTTATTTTGAACACTATTTTTCGATTAAAAACAAAATTAAAATAATGATAATGACATAGGTTGGCGTTAAAAAAAATACTTAAAAAAAAATTAACCGCGAATGTTTAGTGAATAGTATGCAATTTTACTCATGGTTATCAAGAGTAGTTCATATTGAAAGTCTACTAGAAAATCTTATTTTAGTGCTTATTAATATTTCCATACTAATTTCGGCTTATTAATTCTATGGGGGTCGCGGGTGACTTAATTTTTATAAAAGGGGGTCGCCACTCGAAAAAGGTTGGGAACCACTGATCTAGATCTATCTACTTGTTGATGTTGGTACTAGTAGTACTACTTACTTACTACTACTACTAGATCTAGTACTAACACCAACCAATACCTACCTGTCATTATAATTTTCAATATAAGGGCTGAATGTATTTGACGGATTATTATTGTCATTACCATTGATCAAACCCATTTTTAAAAAAAAACCTCTTTAAAAAAAAGCTAAAAATTCAAGTCACAGATATTGTGATTGGACAATTAACTGATCTAGATCTAGTGTAGTCTACCAGATTTAGATATGTAATCTAGACTAATGGTAGACTAGATTTAGTTAGTTAGATCTAAGCAAGCTAGATCTAGATCTAAATCTAGATCTAGATTCTAGATTTAGATGATTAAGTGGACACTTCCCAAAGTCTAGCCTTATGCCTTATTATCATATTGACTGTCAGTCTATGATGAAATATATGTGACTTTCAAAAAGTGTAATCACAACAGAATCTTAGGAACGGCACAAAATAAATGAATTATAATATAAATAATAATATTGAATAAATCGAGTCTAGGCCTAGCAGCATGCATACTGTTTATTCGCTTCGGATTTTAAAAGAAACTAGTCTAGACAACTTCGGAAACGGTCCGTCGGCTGCACTGCACAACACAAACCAATATGCTAGAAATATGCCATTATGTCGACCCCACACTTTATACTATACTAGCCGTCTCGGCCAGGCCCTGCTCTGGCTTCTGTGAAAAACCTTTCTGTTAAAGACCATTACGTGTGTTTAGTAATCATCATAAACCCGGCATTGCCCACCCAAACCACAACCAACCAAAACCAAAACAACAAAACGCAAACATAACGCTAACACAATTACAAATACAAACGAAAACAAAAACCTAACAAACCCAACCACAACCACAAACACCAATACAAACACAAAGAAAAAACAAACAAAAAATCAAACGAAAACAAAAACCTAACAACAAATCCAACCACAACTACAAACACCAATACCAACACACAAAAAAGCAACGAAAAAGCAAACGAAAACAAACCAAATCCAAACGCAAAACCAACCAAAAACACAAATACAAACCCAAAGAAAAAAAACACAAACAAAAACAAAAAAGAAAGAACAAAAACGAACCAAATCAAAACGCAACCACTAACGCAAACCCACCTAAACACAAAGAAAACACTAACGCGAACATAAACGCCCGGGGCGGAATCACCTGTTTTAGCTTAATGAACGACTATAGTACCCCAACTTATTCATAGTCTTTTGCACTCACTTAAACGAACGCGCCTGTTTCAATTTAATGAACAATTATAATACTCCAAGCTTATCCGTAAAATACCTACAACATTTGCACTTGATCAATCCCCGCTAATTATGTAATTATTTTTTTTCCCAACACCAAAACAAAGTAATAAAAAGTAAATTCTTTTCCACTAATGCAATGGTTTTATAAATTGAAGTAATTGTGTTTTCCTAATTTATCAAAGGGAAGTAAGTGCTATATGACTAAATAAAGACATAATTAGAATTTTTGTAAAAGATGATATTTTTTTTAAACTTGTGTTTAATGAACATGCCGAAAATTATTACTTTCAGTTTGATAAATGAAAATTATTTCCCAAAACTTTCAATATTAATTTTTTAACTCATAAATTTAGACCATAAGGACTTTAATTAGCTAACACTTAAATCCATTGAAGTATGTCAACGACAAACCTATTACATACAGAATTGAGCTTTATATATTAGACTAGTCTTTTAACACCAAAAGAATCTCATTTGAACCGAACACCCGCCCGATTCCTTAGGGTATGACGTCCACAAATCAAGAATAACATTCGCATACTAGAATCTAGATCTACTCTGAAAAAAAAATTCATAAAAAACATTTTAATAAGAAGCTTTTATGTAATAGTGCACTAAAAAGTAGAAAATAAATTATAGACTACTATTTAAATAACTATAAAGAAAAGCGTGGGTCACTTTAGTATATATTGGATACCTTTACTAATATTTGAGAAGAGACCCACGCTTTTCTTTATAGTTATTTAAATAGTGTATAATTTATTTTCTACTTTTTAGTGCATTAGTACATAAAAGCTTGTTATTAAAACGTTTTTTTATGAATTTTTTTTCAGTACTTTACATGTTTTATTTACAATAGAGTTACATGACTAAAAACCATTGCGCGCCTATTGAACGTAATGGCGCAGCTATTGAACGTGATGACGCGTGTGGTGTGGTTGGATAGACATGCCTACTAATTCGGTCCAAATTTTAATTAATTCATAAAAAAATTAATTAGGCATCCAATTAAGTCAAATTTAATTTCAGATTGCATTGTCTTCATGTCTTAACCCACGTGTCAACTGTGAATCGTATCGGTCAAGTAGAAGTGTCCGAATTTTCACTCCGGCGTTTCGATCTAGACCAGGGGTTCCCAACCTTTTTTACTCTAGACCACATTCTAAAATATCGGTAGGGTGGCGGGCACCACCTATTTTAAATCGACAAACTCCTTCCATAACTTGTCATTTTCCCATAATTTCTTTTCTTATTTTCTTGTAGTCATAATGTATTAATAAATAATAAACAAAAAAATTTCAAAATAATAAAATTATTTGGCATTTTTTTTCAAATTGCATACACACAGAGACATATATTTACAAAACGTAAATAGTGCAGTCTGGCTCGCCGCTAGACAAGTTGGGACAAGTATCGAACATATTTAATAAACCTAGGCAGTTAAAAAAAATTAAAAGTGTAATAAATAAATAAAAATAAATCATATTTTAAAATAATGTTTATGAAAAAAATTCTGTCTCTGTCGAATAGTGAGAGGCGGGCACATACGAATCGTTCAGCGGGCGCCATGGCGCCCGCGGGCACAGGGTTTGGAACCCCTGATCTAGACTGACGACAGACTGACGAGGAAGTGAGTTAAATAAAAGCTTGTAAAAATACATATCTGCAGAGGCGGGGCGGGGGGCGCGGACCGCATCGGGTGACACTATTGTGGGGGGGGGGGGGGGGTGACAAGGTAAAAAAACCGCAAAATGTACAGAAGAAAAATGCTTTTTGTCAGTTCCATTAATGATTAATTAAAGTTAAATAGTCTTTTAAGTACAAATCGACAATTATTTCGTGCTACCTGTAGAGAAAACATTTCTACGCCTAACTGTATTATGGGGTCGTCCATAAATGACGTCACACTCGTATGGGGGGAGGGGGTCAGTACTTTTGTGAAGGTGTGTGATGAGGGGGAGGGGGGGGGGCGTTTAGATGGCGCGACGTCACACTTTTGCATTATGAAAAAGCAATGTTAGAAAACGTTATTACACGTTTTAGAAAACTGTTTTAATAAATTGTAATAGGAATTGATTAAAAACTCTATTTTGACAGAGTTCAGACACGATTCTGGAAAAATATCGATGTTTAAAAAAAATTCAACTGCTATTTTGAGGGGGTTTTAGGCTGAGGTGTGACGTCATTTTAGTGTATGGGGGGTCTGGCTTTTTGTGACGATGTGTGACGGAGGGGAGGGGGGGGGAGGTAAAAATCGTCAAAAAAAGCGTGACGTCATTTATGGATGACCCTTATTAACATATATATATATATATATATATATATATATATATATATATATATATATATATATATATATATATATATATATATATATATATATATATATATATATATATATATGCCGTCGCGAAACTCATAAATAAGGTGAAGCTGGCTGTCACCACATGGTTCACTTTCTAATTATAGACACGAACCTTCTCTTGTGAGAACGCGGTCTTAATCTGTAATGTAATATGTGGACGCTCTATAAACACGCACTTTCTCTTGAATGGCTGCGATTAGAAATCCAGTAGCTTAGTACCCGAACTGTTTTTTTTTGGGTTTGGCATCCCATAGATTTAAATGTACAGCTATCCTTTACCTCACCCCACCAACTATCACCCACCCCAGTGTTCCACCCTACTGAGTGTCCGTGATTACATTTGAGAGTCATTTCATTTGGATATCTATAGCCGTAAACAGTGTTCTTCACGATTCGAGCTTATTGAGTTATTCCGAAATCCATCAATGTTTTGCCATTTTCCCCGGCATCCACACACTTTGAATGTCACGTTAACACTCGATAAATAGAGACAATATCGCTACTATCACCCGCCACTGTGGACCGATTTAACGTTGCTTCGCGTTGAGAAGAAGAAAAAAAACGCCTCACTGTACATGTTTTAGACACTAATGGAAAAATATAAGGCCCCGCGCGGATGTTAGCCCTAGGCCCCGTGTTCCCTAAAGCCGGCTTTGGGTATCCAATATATAATATTATAATATAGTGACACACACTTTTCTTTATAGTTACTTAAATAGTTGTGTATTATTATATATTTAAAGAAAATCCATTATTCTTTCCTTTTTAGTGCATTACATAAAAGCTTGTTATCAAAACGTTTTTATGCAATATTTAAATTTTGTTTTCATGCTAGAAACGCTAATAAATATTTTATGCGTTACTTAAGTGCAATGGAGTATTTTAAATACAACCTTCTTTTATTTTCTCCTCAAAATGTACTGTTTACTAATTATTGTTTTAATCAATATATATTTTAGAAGCCGTTCCTAAATGTTCTACATTAATGTTTGCGTTTGTTTTTTCTGTGGTTTTTTTAAATTCGTGTTTTCATTTAAGTCTGTGTTAATGGTCGCAGCTTTGTTTGCGTTTGCACTATTTTTGTGTGTATTTGCTTTTATGTTTCTATCTCCTTTCCTTGGCATAAAACTGCAATGTTTGTACCCCCCCTCCCTCCCCACCCACAACACACAAACGGAGAGGTCTAAATGAATCAGTTCAAGTGAAAATAAGTCCCCACAAGCCGCTAGGGTGTAAGCCCATCTCAGTGAAACATTCGTGTAGTCTTATGCCAAGTGATAGGGGCGTCTGTAGCCACCAATTGAACTACTTGAATTGAATGAAATCAATGCATCAAGTTTGGCTGTAACCCTCCACGAATTAATTCAGTGTGAGGAATATTTTTCTAGTCCTTTCATTCACGTAAAGCTGCGCCTAGATAACGACCATGAATGGGCGTCATAAAAAAGATACAAAAGCCGAATCACTTTTCTATCAATCGATTTCCAGATCTGGCAAACGTCCTACGACTAATCCTCCAGTTTTTTTCTGACGTCACCTGCTAAATGTCGAGTGGCTCCATTTCTTGTCAGTCAGTCAGTAAGTCAGTCAGTCAGTCAGTTGGTTTTATGTGGAGAGGAGCTGGTTCCGTGCAGATTTTATGTTTGGGTTGGATTGAGTCAAGTGATCGCTGGACTCATGAACAAGCCAGTAATGTCGGGTGCTCCGGCCTGTCTAAATACGACTCAAGTGTCGGCTGGCACCAGGCAGGCGATGCTAGAGGGACTAGTGGCGGTGTCACAGAGACCTGCTCGGTTAGAGGAGATTCAATCATTTCACGTTCTTCATTCTCCCAGAATACACGGGTAGGTCTTCTTTATCTAAGATGTAGGTTTGTATCTGTATGGGTAGGTTTTTTTTTATTCGCACGGCCCGATAATGTTTTATTCGATTACTACGGGATTTAGTAATTAAGCACGTTAAATAAAGGCTTTGAAAAAAATGCAGAGAAACGTTTTAATATCAAGCTTCTGGTAATAATGCACTAAAAAGGAGAAAATTAAAGATTTTCTTTAAATAAATAATAAACTACAAAAATAACTAAAATGAAAGTTGTGTCCATTTGAAAATTTAAATACTTGTGTAGGTATATAAATTTTAGCATAACTTAGGAACGATTCAATAAATTAAGTCGACTACTTTATAAACATACAGAGTCTCATCAAAATGGCCCAGTTGACGAGACATCTTGTCTGGAGTCTGTATGACGCCGACGGTTAAAAGTTTTCTCCTTTCTACACGGAAATAAATTGAAGCTGATAAGAGAAAAGATAAAATCAAATCTGTTGAAATTTAGATGAGACCAGTATAACAATCTCATTTGAATTAAATGGCTGCTATGACGAGTAAATTAGAGTCCAGCTGGCTGCTATGACGTGTAAATTAGAGTCCAGCTGGCTGCTATGACGTGTAAATTAGAGTCCAGCTGGCTGCTATGACGTGTAAATTAGAGTCCAGCTGGCTGCTATGACGTGTAAATTAGAGTCCAGCTAGCTGCTATGACGTGTAAATTAGTCCAGCTGGCTGCTATGACGTGTAAATTAGAGTCCAGCTGGCTGCTATGACGTGTAGATTAGAGTCCAGCTGGCTGCTATGGCGTGTAAATTAGAGTCCAGCTGGCTGCTATGACGTGTAAATTAGAGTCCAGCTGGCTGCTATGACGTGTAAATTAGAGTCCAGCTGGCTGCTATGACGTGTAGATTAGTCCAGCTGGCTGCTATGACGTGTAAATTAGTCCAGCTGGCTGCTATGACGTGTAAATTAGAGTCCAGCTGGCTGCTATGACGTGTAAATTAGAGTCCAGCTGGCTGCTATGACGTGTAGATTAGTCCAGCTGGCTGCTATGACGTGTAAATTAGTCCAGCTGGCTGCTATGACGTGTAAATTAGAGTCCAGCTGGCTGCTATGACGTGTAAATTAGAGTCCAGCTAGCTGCTATGACGTGTAAATTAGAGTCCAGCTGGCTGCTATGACGTGTAAATTAGTCCAGCTGGCTGCTATGGCGTGTAAATTAGTCCAGCTGGCTGCTATGACGTGTAAATTAGAGTCCAGCTGGCTGCTATGACGTGTAGATTAGTCCAGCTGGCTGCTATGACGTGTAAATTAGAGTCTAGCTGGCTGCTATGACGTGTAAATTAGAGTCCAGCTGGCTGCTATGACGTGTAAATTAGTCCAGCTGGCTGCTATGACGTGTAAATTAGAGTCCATCTGGCTGCTATGACGTGTAAATTAGAGTCCAGCTAGCTGCTATGACGTGTAAATTAGAGTCCAGCTGGCTGCTATGACGTGTAAATTAGTCCAGCTGGCTGCTATGACGTGTAAATTAGAGTCCAACTGGCTGCTATGACGTGTAAATTAGAGTCCAGCTGGCTGCTATGACGTGTAAATTAGTCCAGCTGGCTGCTATGACGTGTAGATTAGTCCAGCTGGCTGCTATGACGTGTAAATTAGAGTCCAGCTGGCTGCTATGACGTGTAAATTAGTCCAACTAGCTGCTATGACGTGTAAATTAGAGTCCAGCTGGCTGCTATGACGTGTAAATTAGAGTCCAACTGGCTGCTATGACGTGTAAATTAGAGTCCAGCTGGCTGCTATGACGTGTAAATTAGAGTCCAGCTGGCTGCTATGACGTGTAAATTAGTCCAGCTGGCTGCTATGACGTGTAAATTAGAGTCCAGCTGGCTGCTATGACGTGTAGATTAGTCCAGCTGGCTGCTATGATGTGTAAATTAGTCCAGCTGGCTGCTATGACGTGTAAATTAGAGTCCAGCTGGCTGCTATGACGTGTAAATTAGAGTCCAGCTGGCTGCTATGACGTGTAAATTAGTCCAACTAGCTGCTATGACGTGTAAATTAGTCCAACTAGCTGCTATGACGTGTAAATTAGAGTCCAGCTGGCTGCTATGACGTGTAAATTAGAGTCCAACTGGCTGCTATGACGTGTAAATTAGAGTCCAGCTGGCTGCTATGACGTGTAAATTAGAGTCCAGCTGGCTGCTATGACGTGTAAATTAGTCCAGCTGGCTGCTATGACGTGTAAATTAGAGTCCAGCTGGCTGCTATGACGTGTAGATTAGTCCAGCTGGCTGCTATGACGTGTAAATTAGTCCAGCTGGCTGCTATGACGTGTAAATTAGTCCAGCTGGCTGCTATGACGTGTAAATTAGAGTCCAGCTGGCTGCTATGACGTGTAAATTAGAGTCCAGCTGGCTGCTATGACGTGTAAATTAGAGTCCAGCTGGCTGCTATGACGTGTAAATTAGTCCAACTAGCTGCTATGACGTGTAAATTAGAGTCCAGCTGGCTGCTATGACGTGTAAATTAGTCCAACTAGCTGCTATGACGTGTAAATTAGAGTCCAGCTGGCTGCTATGACGTGTAAATTAGTCCAGCTGGCTGCTATGACGTGTAAATTAGTCCAGCTAGCTGCTATGACGTGTAAATTAGAGTCCAGCTGGCTGCTATGACGTGTAGATTAGTCCAGCTGGCTGCTATGACGTGTAAATTAGTCCAGCTGGCTGCTATGACGTGTAAATTAGTCCAGCTGGCTGCTATGACGTGTAAATTAGAGTCCAACTGGCTACTATGACGTGTAAATTAGAGTCCAGCTGGCTGCTATGACGTGTAAATTAGAGTCCAGCTGGCTGCTATGACGTGTAAATTAGTCCAACTGGCTGCTATGACGTGTAAATTCTGCTATGACGTGTAAATTAGAGTCCAGCTGGCTGCTATGACGTGTAAATTAGAGTCCAACTGGCTGCTATGACGTGTAAATTATGCTATGACGTGTAAATTAGAGTCCAGCTGGCTGCTATGACGTGTAAATTAGAGTCCAGCTGGCTGCTATGACGTGTAAATTATGCTATGACGTGTAAATTAGAGTCCAACTGGCTGCTATGACGTGTAAATTAGAGTCCAACTGGCTGCTATGACGTGTAAATTAGAGTCCAACTGGCTGCTATGACGTGTAAATTAGAGTCCAGCTGGCTGCTATGACGTGTAGATTAGTCCAGCTGGCTGCTATGACGTGTAAATTAGTCCAGCTGGCTGCTATGACGTGTAAATTAGTCCAGCTGGCTGCTATGACGTGTAAATTAGAGTCCAGCTGGCTGCTATGACGTGTAAATTAGAGTCCAGCTGGCTGCTATGACGTGTAAATTAGAGTCCAGCTGGCTGCTATGACGTGTAAATTAGTCCAACTAGCTGCTATGACGTGTAAATTAGAGTCCAGCTGGCTGCTATGACGTGTAAATTAGTCCAACTAGCTGCTATGACGTGTAAATTAGAGTCCAGCTGGCTGCTATGACGTGTAAATTAGTCCAGCTGGCTGCTATGACGTGTAAATTAGTCCAGCTAGCTGCTATGACGTGTAAATTAGAGTCCAGCTGGCTGCTATGACGTGTAGATTAGTCCAGCTGGCTGCTATGACGTGTAAATTAGTCCAGCTGGCTGCTATGACGTGTAAATTAGTCCAGCTGGCTGCTATGACGTGTAAATTAGAGTCCAACTGGCTACTATGACGTGTAAATTAGAGTCCAGCTGGCTGCTATGACGTGTAAATTAGAGTCCAGCTGGCTGCTATGACGTGTAAATTAGTCCAACTGGCTGCTATGACGTGTAAATTCTGCTATGACGTGTAAATTAGAGTCCAGCTGGCTGCTATGACGTGTAAATTAGAGTCCAACTGGCTGCTATGACGTGTAAATTATGCTATGACGTGTAAATTAGAGTCCAGCTGGCTGCTATGACGTGTAAATTAGAGTCCAGCTGGCTGCTATGACGTGTAAATTATGCTATGACGTGTAAATTAGAGTCCAACTGGCTGCTATGACGTGTAAATTAGAGTCCAACTGGCTACTATGACGTGTAAATTAGAGTCCAGCTGGCTGCTATGACGTGTAAATTAGAGTCCAGCTGGCTGCTATGACGTGTAAATTAGTCCAACTGGCTGCTATGACGTGTAAATTCTGCTATGACGTGTAAATTAGAGTCCAGCTGGCTGCTATGACGTGTAAATTAGAGTCCAACTGGCTGCTATGACGTGTAAATTATGCTATGACGTGTAAATTAGAGTCCAGCTGGCTGCTATGACGTGTAAATTAGAGTCCAGCTGGCTGCTATGACGTGTAAATTATGCTATGACGTGTAAATTAGAGTCCAACTGGCTGCTATGACGTGTAAATTAGAGTCCAACTGGCTGCTATGACGTGTAAATTAGAGTCCAGCTGGCTGCTATGACGTGTAAATTAGAGTCCAGCTAGCTGCTATGACGTGTAAATTAGAGTCCAGCTGGCTGCTATGACGTGTAAATTAGAGTCCAGCTGGCTGCTATGACGTGTAAATTAGAGTCCAGCTGGCTGCTATGACGTGTAAATTAGAGTCCAGCTGGCTGCTATGACGTGTAAATTAGAGTCCAGTTGGCTGCTATGACGTGTAAATTAGAGTCCAGTTGGCTGCTATGACGTGTAAATTAGAGTCCAGTTGGCTGCTATGACGTGTAAATTAGAGTCCAACTGGCTGCTATGACGTGTAAATTAGTCCAGCTGGCTGCTATGACGCGTTACTCTTCTCTGGTCCACAGAAGTGCCGCTCTACTGCTGCAGTACGACCACGTGTGCCGCAGACAGAACCAGTACCTGCACGAGCTCAAAGAACTGAGACAGCAGTTCTTGGACTGTTCTCCAGTGGACAAGCACGGACCACGTGACAAGAGACAGCACCCGAAAGATTGGATCTGGCGACCTGTCGGGCTGGCAGATACTGACACAGATACTAAGTTTCCCCATAGGGCTTGCATTCTCCATCCCAGAATTCCCAGTACCGGAAGCAGACATTGTGTTCAGCCACGCCCACAATTAAGTGTCGCCAAGGTTAGTAAAGCTGGCTCGACAAGTCAACCAATCAAAAGTCAGCCAATCAAAAGTCAGCCAATCAAAAGTCAGTCAACCGAAGACTTGCCAATCAAAACAATTGCTTGCTCTTCCAATGACGGCGTAAAGTGCAGCCAACCGATCAAGGTGCCCACAATAGACCTTGATCGCAATCAGACGGATTATGAGCCAATTGAATTCATCGCTAAACGTCATAATTTAAACCTGAACAAATATCTCCAGCAAGAAACAACAGAAAATAATGTTATGATATAATAGTATCTAAGGTGAAGCAGTGGCGTAGGCAGGGGGGGTTAGGGGGGGGGTCATAACCCCCCCCCCCATAGACCCCTCGGTATATATATAAAAAGTATGAAGGGGTGCAAATCGAAAGTTTGAGGGGGGGGGTGCAAATCGACAGTTTGTCCCCGGGTAAAAATTGGACCCCCCCCCCTTGAGACGATCCTGGCTACGCCACTGAGCAGTGCTTTCATTTCACGATGGAGTACGAGTTTAGGAAAAGAATATCGTACTACTCAGCCAAACAAGATCTTATCATAAATACAGCGAGTGATCTCCCCTAAACTATCAAAATTTAAAATAAAGGGTGTATCGGGCTGTAGAAATGGTTTTACAAGCTTTAATGTAACTTGCCACCTGGTCTATACTTATCGGGCTAATGGTTTTACAAGCTTTAATGTAACTTGCCACCTGGTCTATACTTATCGGCTAATGGTTTTACAAGCTTTAATGTAACTTGCCACCTGGTCTGTATTTTTTACTCTTGTCTTATGGGACCGATCGCTTTCAAACTTGGCACGTAGGCAGTAGCGTAGCGAGGGGGGGGGGGGAAGACATATGTCCCCGGGCGCCGACCTTAGGGGGCACCAAAATGGGTTGGAAAAATAAATTGAAAGGTTGAGGGGGTGCAAATCGAAAGTTTGAGGGGGGGGGGGGGTGCAAATCGAAAAGTAAGTTTGTCCCCAGACGCTGGGAAGGGTCGCTACTCCTCTGCACGTGGGTCAAGACAATGGGACAGCTAATTTCGCTAATTGTATGCAATGATCAGAGGCGTAGCGGGGGGAAAGGTGTTGACCGCATCGGGTGACACCATTTAGGGGGGTGACACCAAGGCAAAAAATAGCAAAATATATCGAGAAAAAATTGAGGGGGGGGGGGGTGGTGCAAATCGAAAACTTGAGGGGGGGGGGGGTGGAAATCGAAAATTGGAAAGTTTGTCGCTACACCTCTGGGGGGTGACACCATTAAGTGCCGCACCGGGTGGTGACACCCGACCTCGCTACGCCACTGGCAATGATTAGTAAGTTTCCTATATAAAGCAATAATTTTATCGCCCAATTATTAAACGCATATTATTCGCGTTTAATTAATGAGAAATTATCTTCAATCAACCCAGTGATCGATAGTATTTAATCTTAGTATCTCCCCTTTTATTATTAAAATAGTATTTTTTATATTAAACTTTTATGACAAGTATAATGTCTAATGAGATAATCTTGCATTGTCATCAAAGACTAATGTTTATGGAAATTAAAAATTTAATACAATGGGATCTTAACTCATGTTTGATGGTCGCATGCATCAACTCGAGCTTTCCTAGAGTCTGATGAAACCTGCCATACCAGGTACAATAATACAGTGGCCATCCAAATACCAGGTACATGCTATACAGTGGCCATCCAAATACCAGGTACATGCTATACAGTGGCCATCCAAATACCAGGTACATGCTATACAGTTGCCATCCAAATACCAGGTACATGCTATACAGTGGCCATCCAAATACCAGGTACATGCTATACAGTGGCCATCCAAATACCAGGTACATGCTATACAGTTGCCATCCAAATACCAGGTACATGCCATACAGTGGCCATCCAAATACCAGGTACATGCCATACAGTGGCCATCCAAATACCAGCCATACAGTGGCCATCCAAATACCAAGTACATGCCATACAGTGGCCATCCAAATACCAGGTACATGCTATACAGTGGCCATCCAAATACCAGGTACAAGCCATACAGTGGCCATCCAAATACCAGGTACATGCTATACAGTGGCCATCCAAATACCAGGTACAAGCCATACAGTGGCCATCCAAATACCAGGTACATGCTATACAGTGGCCATCCAACTACCAGGTACAAGCCATACAGTGGCCATCCAAATACCAGGTACATGCCATACAGTGGCCATCCAAATACCAGCCATACAGTGGCCATCCAAATACCAGGTACAAGCCATACAGTGGCCGCCCAAATACCAGGTACATGCTATACAGTGGCCATCCAAATACCAGGTACATGCTATACAGTGGCCATCCAAATACCAGGTACATGCTATACAGTGGCCATCCAAATACCAGGTACATGCCATACAGTGGCCATCCAAATACCAGGTACATGCCATACAGTGGCCATCCAAATACCAGCCATACAGTGGCCATCCAAATACCAGGTACAAGCCATACAGTAGCCATCCAAATACCAGGTACATGCCATACAGTGGCCATCCAAATACCAGGTACATGCCATACAGTGGCCATCAAAATACCAGGTACAAGCTATACAGTGGCCATCCAAATACCAGGTACAAGCCATACAGTGGCCATCCAAATACCAGCCATACAGTGGCCATCCAAATACCAGGTACATGCCATACAGTGGCCGCCCAAATACCAGGTACATGCCATACAGTGGCCATCCAAATACCAGGTACATGCCATACAGTGGCCATCCAAATACCAGCCATACAGTGGCCACCCAAATACCAGGTACATGCCATACAGTGGCCATCCAAATACCAGCCATACAGTGGCCATCAAAATACCAGGTACAAGCCATACAGTGGCCATCCAAATACCAGCCATACAGTGGCCATCCAAATACCAGGTACATGCCATACAGTGGCCATCCAAATACCAGGTACATGCCATACAGTGGCCGCCCAAATACCAGGTACATGCCATACAGTGGCCATCAAAATACCAGGTACATGCCATACAGTGGCCATCGAAATACCAGGTACAAGCCATACAGTAGCCATCCAAATACCTGGTATATGCCATACAGTGGCCATCCAAATAGCAGGTACATGCCATACAGTGGCCATCCAAATACCAGGTACATGCCATACAGTGGCCATCCAAATACCAGGTACAAGCTATACAGTTGCCATCCAAATACCAGGTACATGCTATACAGTGGCCATCCAAATACCGGGTACAAGCCATACAGTGGCCATCCAAATACCAGCTATACAGTGGCCATCCAAATACCAGGTACATGCTATACAGTGGCCATCCAAATACCAGGTACTTGCCATACAGTATACAGTGGCCATCCAAATACCAGGTACTTGCCATACAGTATACAGTGGCCATCCAAATACCAGGTACATGCCATACAGTGGCCATCCAAATACCAGGAACAAGCTATACAGTTGCCATCCAAATACCAGGTACATGCTATACAGTGGCCATCCAAATACCAGGTACAAGCCATACAGTGGCCATCCAAATACCAGCTATACAGTGGCCATCCAAATACCAGGTACATGCTATACAGTGGCCATCCAAATACCAGGTACTTGCCATACAGTATACAGTGGCCATCCAAATACCAGGTACTTGCCATACAGTATACAGTGGCCAACCAAATACCAGGTACATGCCATATAGTGGCCATCCAAATACCAGGTACATGCTATACAGTGGCCATCCAAATACCAGGTACAAGCCATACAGTGGCCATCCAAATACCAGCTATACAGTGGCCATCCAAATAGCAGGTACGCGATATACAGTGGCCATCCAAATACCAGGTACTTGCCATACAGTATACAGTGGCCATCCAAAAACCAGGTACTTGCCATACAGAATACAGTGGCCATCCAAATACCAGGTACATGCCATACAGTGGCCATTCAAATACCAGGTACAAGCCATACAGTGGCCATCCAAATACCAGCCATACAGTGGCCATCCAAATACCAGGTACAAGTCATACAGTGGCCATCCAAATACCAGGTACAAGCCATACAGTGGCCATCCAAATACCAGGTGCAAGCCATACAGTGGCCATCCAAATACCAGCCATACAGTGGCCATCCAAATATCAGGTACAAGCCATACAGTGGCCATCCAAATACCAGGTACATGCCATACAGTGGCCATCCAAATACCAGGTACTTGCCATACAGTAGCCATCCAAATACCAGGTACATGCCATACAGTGGCCATCCAAATACCAGGTACATGCCATACAGTGGCCATCCAAATACCAGGTACATGCCATACAGTGGCCATCCAAATACCAGGTACATGCCATACAGTGGCCATCCAAATACCAGCCATACAATGGCCATCCAAATACCAGGTACATGCCATACAGTGGCCATCCAAATACCAGCCATACAGTGGCCATCCAAACACCAGGTACATGACATACAGTGGCCATCCAAATACCAGGTACATGCCATACAGTGGCCATCCAAATACCAGGTACATGACATACAGTGGCCATCCAAATACCAGGTACATGCCATACAGTGGCCATCCAAATTCCAGGTACAAGCTATACAGTTGCCATCCAAATACCAGGTACATGCCATACAGTGGCCATCCAAATACCAGGTACAAGCCATACAGTAGCCATTCAAATACCAGCCATACAGTGGCCATCCAAATACCAGGTACATGCCATACAGTGGCCATCCAAATACCAGGTACATGCCATACAGTGGCCATCCAAATTCCAGGTACAAGCTATACAGTGGCCATCCAAATACCAGGTACATGCCATACAGTGGCCATCCAATTACCAGGTACAAGCCATACAGTGGCCATCCAAATACCAGGTACATGCTATACAGTGGCCATCCAAATACCAGCCATACAGTGGCCATCCAAATACCAGGTACAAGTCATACAGTGGCCATCTAAATACCAGGTACAAGCCATACAGTGGCCATCCAAATACCTGGTATATGCCATACAGTGGCCATCCAAATAGCAGGTACATGCCATACAGTGGCCATCCAAATACCAGGTACATGCCATACAGTGGCCATCCAAATACCAGGTACAAGCCATACAGTGGCCATCCAAATACCAGGTACATGCCATACAGTGGCCATCCAAATACCAGCCATACAGTGGCCATCCAAATACCAGGTACATGCCATACAGAATACAGTGGCCATCCAAATACCAGGTACATGCCATACAGTGGCCATCCAAATACCAGGTACAAGCCATATTGTAGCCATCCAAATACCAGGTACATGCCATACAGTGGC